AATACATGGCTTTTATTAATTAAAGCAGTAATATTAAGTATAAAATACTAACTTTTTCCTTAAACATCTTTCGACCCATCGAACTGATTAATGTCACGTTACTATTAACGGAATTATATGTGAAAAATGTATGACAATATAATTTAAATTGCGCAAAAACATATTTAGACGAAATTTTTTGCCGCCATCACTGACTCACTATTTTGTTTTAAACAAGCTTTCATTTAGTAATTTCTTCTGTATAGTCATATTCACTCTTGCCTGTATGGCAGCAATTACCTCATTCTGAGCTTGTGGTCAAAACCATTCAATTACCGGCGAATATCGTATAGTATTGGTTCTGATACTGTGAGTTAATTTTCTTACGATACACGTGTTTGCATCAGGGTCCTCCACCAAAGTCGAGACTGCGTTAGTATTTTGGATAAGGAGTGCAGAGTTAAAGGTTTTTGACGTTGTTACTCGGTATATGGTCCAAGTATCCGGCACGCTGAGCGAATATCAAATTAGAGGGATAGTGTAATCTTTGATCGTGACAGCGTTCTGGAAATACCGAAATAACGTCATAATAGTAGAAGAGGAAGCAAATACAGTTGCTAATGCGAATGTTAGAGACAATAGTTGGGAATAATTAGTTAAGATTTAGGAATAAACATAATAAATACATATAAACTGATTAAGTACTCCAAATACTTTACCAGAATGGACGAGAAGTGACTGGTAGGTACTATACGAGGGGAATACTGGAACCAGTGTTATACAGTCAGTTGATTTCGTCTATCGTGGTAAATGAATAAGATTTTAAGGTAACTATTTGATCTCTAGTAGTAATATTTCATTTAACAGCCGATATCAGCTTTAAGTGTTTCCATCGTTGCAAGTAAATCAGGCCATTCCTTGGTATGACATTAAACAATTTTCACATTGTTTGTTAACAGGCGCGCGACCGTTGTAAGTGTGGTAGATATTGAACAGTGTTCGCATAATGAGACTTATTTTTTTGATTTTTATCAGCGGACAGAGTTAATTAAAGTTGGTACAAACCAACTATTAATGACTGATAACTTTAACAGCTCTTAATGTCAGCAATGCTTTTTTATTATCGAGTCGTGTATGAAAATCGCACCATATTAATCAATATGCAGAATATGCCTGTGCGACCATAAAGTGTCGGGAAAAAGTGTCTGAATTAAATTCCGAAATTATATTCAATATGGGATGAACCATGAATAGAGGTTTTGGCAGTTTGGCCACTCGCTCTTTCATAAGCAAAGTTGCATGGCTGCCAGTATTTGTTTTCTTATTAGAACATTTTTATGATGTAGCACTAGTTGAGGGAAGGTCGATGCAAGTAGGTGGATTTTCCCTCCCTCCTCGGTATTCGTAGTTGTCAGTCCGGTATTTGGAGAAATTCTTAACAATAGAAGACAAAACGTTACAGCCAACCCTCAATCCAGATGATAACAAATTAAAACGAGATGTTGTCCTATTAAACCGATTGGCGGCTTTAAGGCATCGATATCAAAGAGGAGATGTGGTAACTTTATGGTATGATACTTATATATGAAAATTTATTCAGTAGAATTCATTTTTAACTTATTCCTCGAAAACAACGTTTATATCACGTAGGTCACCGACTGATCCATCCAAAACAATTATCAAGAGGATTGTTGCAGTAGAAGGAGATTACGTTTACCCACTAAAACCACATCCAAAAGAGATTGTGAGAATCCCTAAAGGACACTGCTGGATCGAGGGGGATGAAAATTTCCATAGCAAAGATAGCAATATTTACGGACCGGTAAGTAATTTACAAAATATTTTTTATTTATCGGTATAAGCAATCATCTTGTTGGTTATTCCCAGATAAGATTTTCTAACCGTTTCATTTACTGTACGCGACAGGTTCCACTTGGTCTGATAACTGCCAAAGTGACACATATCGTATGGCCGTTATCTAGACTCGGCAGGGTACCTTATCGTGGTAGGCCTGAGCGCGTTTTATATGGCGCAGGCCCTAGTGATGAGGAAGAGGATGATACATACAAACCAAATTATGCATGAGGCAAACACGTTACATTCATGAATCTTCTAAATCTGAAAATGGAACATGATTACGTGGAAGAACCACGAGATCAATTACATGTGGAAATAAAAAAAATTATATTATGAAAGTATTGGATCCCATAAAGCCATGGGTCAGCAATTATAACTAAAAGAATCTAGTGTACTCGTTATTGAAGTCAATATACAATTATTCAGAGTAATTTACAGGATTAGTTGTATCTCATCTAAGCGAAAGTTAAAATGCTACAACATGTTAACTACCAGAAATCTCTTTCACTATTAGGTTTTGGTAAGTCTCTTCTTTCAGTTCAACTTTCTCGATATATTCAAACGTCTTTTCAATACCCACGCCCTTTAATGGTTCAGACGTCAATACTTTTAAAGTTTCATCTAATGAACCATATAATTGCGGTTCTAACGCAAACAGTATCCCGAAAGCTGCTCTAAATAAGAAAACTTCCCCATGAAGGAAGTAACAATCCCAGATACGGCTGGCAATGTCTAAAGGCAAGAAACATGTAAACATGCTAGTAAACCAACGAGACAAGAATAGTGATGGGTACAGTTGGAGAGTTTTGAAATGTTCATATAGCTAAAGATAAGGAGTAATTATACGTTAGTGGTTATGAATACAAATTAAATAAACACGCTCTCGAATCACATTGAGCATCTCTTAAAAAAATATCAACCATTTCCATCCTAAACCCACCAAAAATTCATTACCTTGGGATTATAACTTTTAAATAAAGTCGAGAAGGTACGAAGATAGTAATTTATCTGTCAGGCGTCAATTGTGATTTAATCTTTAGTTATATATTACTGCCCACAGTTTAAGACCTTGTCAACAACATACCTTTTCGCCTACTCCAAAGAAAGCAGAAATGCACGGTCTCTTTGAAAGATTAACCATATAAAC